CTGCTGACCTTAACCAATCTCATGCTCCTTTGCATTACATGGATAATAACACTCTTAGTTTGAATCTCATTCAGGGAAGCAGGTTTGCAGTCAGCCAAACCCAACTTGAAATCCTGCCTTTGTAGTGATCAGTCATGGGGAATGTGGAAACTTTCAAACACTTAATGCTTTAATCTGTAAAAAGAACACAGTTTCTCCAGCACAACATTTTTCTGAGGGTTAGATGGATTTTATGGGTAAGTGCCTCGCTCGTATAGGCTTGCCTTCTGAGAGCTCCTGATGCTTTGAGTTTATTATGTCAGGTTGCATCTGGTTATGATGTAATTTTACACATGAAAATGTGTTTTGGAAGTAAAATCATAGTCTAAACTCAATACCAAGCTAAGAAATATGAATGAATATCAGAATAAAAGATTTTCTAAAATAGCAGAAGTGATTAAGAGAAAGTCATAATTGAAATACAATGTAGGGCACATTCTTCAAAATTTGTGAAATAGGTCATCTAGTAAATTCTATTCCCTTCTTTAGATTTGAGTAACCATACACCTAAAAGGTGTAAAAACTGTTTTTATTTAAAAATATCTTTTAATAGAGTTTTCACTGAATTAGCTTAGCTTTGTCCATCTCCCCTGAACACAATTACTTTGAAATGATAAACATTTTACTTTACATAGAAGACCATTTATAATGAAGTATTAATATCTGTGAAGCATTTTTGCATACTTTATCCCACTTAATGCACAAAAATGGGATCCGGCACTGTGGAAATAATGACCAGAAATTCCAAGTCTAGACTAGTGTTTAGATGTAAGAGACAAAGCACACGGTGCTCTCTCCCTCTTCTGTCCCTCCCTGACACCAGCCTCCACAGCTGCATCCAAGGGCAAGGTCAGAAAGAGAAGCTGGACCTCGTTTTCTTTCTTAATTTTGTGATGGGAGGACACTGGGAGACAAGGTGAACATGAAGTAGCAGAAGCAGAAGCAGAAGCAGAAGCAGAAGGGCCAAAAAGACAAACAAAACATTTCAAAGTACAGTCAACCTCTCACCAACCCATCCTTTTTTCCCTCCATAGGTCATAAAGTTTCATCAAAGATATGTATATTCCCCTTTAGCCAGAACTGAAGGACATTTGCCTTCGAAAAACAATCATTAACATCTCTTCTATTAAGGAGCTTCTTCCCTGGGCATATACCTGGGGAGTGTTACCTCCTAGTTTCTAAAGAAGAAGGAAACAATTGCTGACTGGCCGACCTTAGGGGGAGGGTGGGTGCGTACGTGTGTGTGTGTGTGTGTGTGTGTGTGTGTGTGTGTGTTTCTGGAGATGTGGACTTATCATACACCAAACAATTTAACTTAAAGAAAAGAGACCTAACATCCAAGGTTATAGGGTGAGGGTTGTTTTCAGAAGAGCCAACATTTCTAGAAGTTATGGAATCTGATAAATCTCTGCCCTAGAAATAGCACCAGCCTTGGAAGTTGGCTGAGTGGGTGTTTTGTAAAGAAAGCTTTGCTTAGATCTACTATCCAATAAAATGAGGGCTTTGTGTTGGCTGATGGAAAGCCAGGTGCCACAGTGCCTTTCTTAAGTAAGGAGACCCAAAAGAGCAAATACAAATGGACCAAATACCTAAATATTAAAGCATAAACACTTAATCTATTAGAAGATAGAATAGGTGTAGGAAGACTTTATAAACAAAACCTAAGTCACACAAGAAATTATACAAATAATCAAAATATGAAACCCTCTTATTAAAGAACTTTTGCACTGCAAAAGAAAACAAGAAAGTGAAGAGATAAACTGAGTGGAAAAAAAATTTGCCAGTTGTTCCTCAGAACAAGGACTCATATCTAGAAAATATAAAAACTCAGAAAAATCCAGACCCCTTCAAATTTAAAGACCCAGTCCAAAAATGGGCAATTGAAATGAATAGACATTTCTCATATGAAAAAGTAAAAATGACAAATAAATGTATGAAAAAAGGTTCGACATCACTAGTCCTTCAAGAGATGCAAATGAAAACAACACCGAGACTTCATCTCACTCCAGAAACAATAGCTTTAAAGAATCAACCAGTAACAAATACTGGAGAAGCAGTGGAGGAAAAGGAACCCTTCTGCACTGTTGCTGGTAGTGTAGACTGGTGCAACCACTGTGGAAATCAGTGTAGGAAATTAAAATTAGGGGTTCCATTTGTCCCAGGTATTCCTCTTCTTAGTATCTTCCCAAAATAATTAAAAGCATCATAACACAGTGGTTATTTGCATACCAATGTTGATAGTGCAATTTTCCCCCATAATTTTATTGATAAACAAATAGCAATGAGACAGTTTCAAATCAAATTGATAGGACAGTTTCAATAATTAACACATTGCATACATTCTTCCTAGTGGTTAATTGCTGTACAAGATGCAGACATGATATCATATTTACAAACACCATTAGAACAAATCCCTCTATTCATTAAGAGAATGTAACTATATATCTATCTTAACTGCTTTGAATACACAGATACAAAATGGACATTCATCTGTATCCCCTTTTTTTTGTTAAGTTCCATTCTTTGAATATTATAGGTGTGTGAACTCAGCAAAACATTCTAAAAGAGTCCAGTAGCCCATAATAGTATTGGGTCTTCCGCTTGATTGGCAATGTCAGAAATTGTTGACCTGAGCCACTTGAACATATACTCATAAGTGAAATATACCAGATAGTGCAATTTGTAATAGCTAGATTTTGGAAACAGCCCTAAAGTCCATCAATAGATGAGTGAATGAAGATGTGATATTTTTATACAATTGATTACTATTGTGCCACAAAGAAGGATAAGGCATTTATAGGTAAATGGGCATACTTTGAGAGACTATACTCTTCTATGAAATAAATCCGATGGACCTTCTTAAACATCGCATTGCTTTTCTGGTGTGAGAAAACAGAAGTGTAAATAAGGACCAAAATATATAATAGATATTAGGAAATGAAAGAAAATACTCAAAAGGGAAGGGGAACAAGGTAGGAGGAGAAGGAAGGGAATACAAAAAAATGAGAATGGGAGGAAAAATGGACAGAAAGCTTTTTTTAGAGAAGGAGGGGAAGAGAGGATGGAGAAAGGTGAATGAATTGAGGAACTAAAGAATCAAGATCTATTTTTTACATATATAAGTGAATGTGATCATTAAGAGTATTTGAAATGTACCAATAAAATTAATAACAACAACAACAACAACAACAACAAATGAATGAATGACAAAATAAGACTTTCAATGAAGAAAGTGATTTGAACTTTAAAAAAAATAGGGCTTTTCTGGAGATGTTCATGGAGCAAACTGAAAAGATTTGAGTCTTCAAACAAAAACCTTGCGCTTCATTCTGAGATCTCCTTACTACACAGGGTTGTAAATGGGACCCACTTCCAAAATACAAAGATTTCTGAGTTGGGCCACACTTAGAAAGGTGGTCCAAGCTCTTCCAGTGGAAGTGCGCTCCTTGACACGTGGCAGCTGTTACGTAATAAATGACACCAAACTAGAGACAGACCCTGACCTTCAGCAGATCCTCAGTTGGTTTGATAAACACTGGCCCAAGCTTCCTCTAGGTTCCTAGAAAGCCACCATGAGAACTTGGAGCATCAGCTGGGTTCCCAAACTCCATGTTAGCACTCCAACAACTTCTGGGTGTTTCCTGATTGTTGTCCAGAGAAGCCAGCTGTCACCTGACCTGCATTGATCTAAGTGAGCACTAACTCTGAAGTCCGGGCTCCTCAGTTTTTTTTCTCTTATGGTTCTAAGATGAGCTCATTTTTCTTAACAGATGAAAAGGAGATGGGGTACACTCCACAGCATTTTGTGGTCTGTCCTATGATTGAGAAAGAAAACAGATCTCCAACTCCCCAAGGATAAAGCAAAAATAAATTCTGCTGACCTCCCCAGACACAGAAATAGCCTGCCTCTCTGGGAGAGTCTCTTACCTTCCAAAGGGCTGGGAAAGCTGGAGGACAGCGCCATCCCCAGCTGCGGTCCGCAGGGCACAAAGAGACCACGGGCAAGCCCTCATCACCCTCGGGCAGCCGCTGAGCTGCAGCCCTCATCCCGGTGCTCCAGCAGTGCCCAAGTACTCACTTAGCGTTCGGACAGCGTCGCTGGGCTGGCTGCGTGGACTGGAGCCGTGGGCATTCACGGCCCTCACAGCAAACTGGTAGCTCATGTCTGGAGCAAGGCCCTTGATGACCGTGGTGTTCATCTGGAAATGTTCTTGGATTAAGGTCCAATTCTTGTCAAAATCTGGCCTTTATTGGTGAAAAAGAAGAAAGGAAGAAGCAGTAGTTCAGAAGTACAATAGGGAGGGAGGCTAGCTTGCTGTGTGAATTAATTGTGCTTGCACGCTAGAAGCAATATTCCTAAGAACGAGCTAGCATTTCCCTGTCTGGAAGCAGTCCTGAATTTAAAGCATGGGTCATCATCTGTGAATTCCTGCCAATAAAAGCAAGCGGCCCATTTGCAAGGCTGGTTTTTAGCCCTTTAGCACCGGTTAGAAGCCGAACAATTCTCCTTGCACAGCCCTGAACGTGATGAAGCCCACACACAAACACACAGTGAGGCTCATTTTCAAGGACTGTGCAGTCCAGCTGTTTCATAAACAAGCCTCTCCTTGGCAGTCCATCCTGGGAGGTCAGGAGGGCAGAGTCCATCTATTCACAATCTGCTCACAAATAAACAAATACAGGCTTTATAAGGTGAGGAAGTGTATGCACTGCCATGGGAAAGCCCACGAAGAATCTGTTTGTGGACATTCTCACACTTAGCAAATTACGCATCTGCGCCAAGGCACAGAGTTTTCACATGTCTTTCCTAGGATCCTAAAGAGAAGTAGACTTAGAGTTCCTTCCTAGAAGGTAATATGAAAAGGTAAGAGTACAAGCTCTGGAGTTGGACAGAGCTGCGTTCGAGTGCTAGCTCTCCTCACTACTAGGCGCTACTTAACTTCCTTAAGTCTGTTTAATCTGTAAAATGTGAATAATGAAGGTACCTACCTAATAGCACTGTTGTAAGATTAAGTGAGACACATCCACAGTACAGTGCCTGACACCACACTGTAAACACTTATCGAGTATACGCTATGATTTAAAGGCCATTTCCACTGGGAGCCACAGCTGCCTGCTCATCCTGCATGTGCATTGCCTCAGCCCCACGAAGCTGGGCAGCACCAGAAACGTGGCTGTTCTGAATTAAGCGGTACCATAAGTATAAACATACATTGGATTTTAAAGGAAAAAGAGAAATATTTCACTGATCATTCATATATTGGATACCTGTTGAAATGAAAACAGTTTAGGAACAGCAGGTGACAGTATATAATATTCAGTAATTCTACTGAATATTAAGGCCCCATCCCCTTGCTTTTTTTTTTTT